AATTGAAGAGACGGAGCCTTGAGCCCTCCCCCACCGCATCTCCCCACAGCGCTCCGCACCAGGCCCTGCCCCAGCACCTCCGTGGCAGCAGGGCCGCGCAGGCAGTGGGGCTCAGCCGGGCGGGTCACACAGCACCCAGAGCGCAGCCACGGCACGGGGGGGGGGGGGGGGGGGAACCCGCACAAGCGAGCCCGAACCCCGGGCAGCCCCTTCCCCTCTCACCGCCGCTGCCGCCGCCGCGCCTCGGGGGCCTTAAAGAGACGGGCCCGGAACGGGCGGCGCCGAGCACGGAAGCGCCGCGCGGCGGGAAGGGGCGGGGCCTAGGCGGGGCCTCGGGGGGGAGGGGCTTACCTGGCTATTTAAAGGCGCAGGGGGAGGCCGCCCCCTCAGAAGCGGTAAGGCTGATGTGCGCGGTGCTTCTGTCTGCCGAGATTGAGTAAAGTTGGAAACGATCCTTAAGAACTTCAAAAATGCTTTAAGGATGGTGGAGGGGAAACCTTAAGGGGGTGTGGCTGAGGTCACCTCATTTGTTTAGCTTGGAGATGATGAGTCTGAGGTCACACCTCATTGTGGTCCTCAATATTCTCATGAAGGGAAGAGGTGGAGCAGGTTCTGATCCCTTCTGTCTCATGTGTGACAGGGCTCGAGGAAATAGCTGGAGCTGAGTTGGGGGAAGTTTATGTTGGACATCAGGGAAAGTTTTTTCACCCAGAGCGTGGTAGAGCACTTGAACAGACTCCTTAGTGCAGTGGTTATGGCACCAAACCTCACAGATCTCTAGAGCTCTGATACGTGCTGGGATTCCTGGAGCATTCTGTGCACTGTCAGCAGTTGGACTCGATGTTCCTGATGGGTCCCTTCTAACTCAGGATATTCTGATTCTTTGATAGTGAGTCCAACTATGTATCCATTGCCACCACCATAACCCCAAACCCATCACCCAGCACCTGATCCAGACGCTTCCAGGGATGATAAGCCGGCCATGGCAACCTTGTTCCCATGCCTGACCACTGAAACAGTGAAAACATTTTTCCTAATATCTAATCTGAATCTCCCATCTCAGTTTAAAGCTGTTTTTTCTTGTCTTCTCACTGCAGTAGAAAAAAGTGACCCTACCTCACCACGACCTCCCCTCAGGTAATTCTGGGGAGTGAAGAGGTTCCTCCCTGAGCCTCCTCTTCCAAACAAACGCAGGCTGTGGGTGCTGAGGGGTCCTTTACATGGAATTTTGGGGATGGAGCTGACTCTCAGTGCAGCCTCTTTGAGGTTTCTGCACATCAGCAAGCTCTGTGCTCTTCCCCCTGCTGATAAGTGATGGACGCGAGACAAATCTTGAAGGTATTCCATATAAATCTGGAATAATTATAGTAGATATGGAGTGAGAGCTGGCCTGTCCTTGCTCGCCATCACCTGGAAGATATTTCAATTTCTGTTAGCAAAAAAACCCCACACCACTTAGAAACTGAATAATGGCAAAATTATTGGACTTTGAGGTAACACGCTCCTGGTCTTTCCTGTGACTACAGGCTGAGACCATCCCTTTTTAAAATTTTATTTAAATATGCTCACTTACACCTTTCTGCGGGTATTTTGGCTGCTGCCCAGTTTAGAGCCTTGTTCTCTTTTTGCTGTGGGTGTCCCATCATCTCTCACGGCAGGAAGAGGACAGGTAGGGAATTACATTTAATTAACAGCACAACTCCAGGCAGTTTCTCTTCTTAAGGTGGCTGATATGGGCAGAACAGGAAACACCATTGAAATAATTTGATCAGATACCATCCAAGGAATTATTCAGCACTTCATTATCCATTTTTACAGCTACCCAAGCCAAAACTCTTGGGTTTCTCTTATTTTAGTGCCTGGTTGGTTGAATTACAGAGCAGGGAAGTGGGGAGGAGCCCTGGTGCAGGCAGGAAATGGTTAAAGAGTTCCTATCACCTGGGAAAGCAATCCTTTGATTTTTCAGAGGGCGCTAACATGCTGCAGTTCATGGAAACAAAGGGAAGGGGATCAAGTAGAAAAGTTGTTCTTGGATTTTATTCTCAGTGGCAAAACTTGTGAGGGCTGCATATTGATGTCTGCGGGGAAAATACGGAGTTTTTGGATTAAAAGGGATTTTTTTCCCCCCCCCTTTCTTATCATCATTCAAAAAAAGCATCTGTGAGGTAAGTCTTGATCCAACTGGTGACTTTAGATAACTTCTTTTAAGAGTGAGGGGTAAAAAAGAAAACCCTTTATCTTGCTGACCCATTTTAAAACAATGAATTCTTTGCTGAAATCGCTCCTCGGGCAGGGAGCAGAGGCAGGAGCGTGAGTCAACAGCAGCACGGAGCCCACGACGCTCGCTCGCCTGTGTTGTCTGCATTCAAATCCTTTGCATTCATTCCCGAGCCGGAGTATGGAAATTCAGGAACCGGGAGAAACATAATGAGTCAGGGGAATTCGCCACTCGGAGTTGCAGTAAATATTTCAGCGCTGACACTCTTTCAAGCTGCAGCTAATGTGATTTTGCAGTGGGGTGCTTCAAGCATCTTCTGCTGGTGGCTCTTAAGTCATTCCCAAGCCCTGTCTCTCGAATCCTCGTTGCTGTCCCGAAGGTTTTGTGTTTGGAAGGACCATGCTGATCCTTTCAAGGCTGATTCATTGTGAAGGTGTAAGAGGGCTCTTGATCACCATTAATTCTTTGCCTATCTGCACCTGAGTTCTCACCTTAAACAGTGCTGCTGGGTGTTGTGTGTGTGTGTGTGTGTGAAACAGATGATTTTTCACCCCAGTGTGGCTGCCCCAGGGGTGATGGATGGTCATGACTGTCACTGAGAGCCAGTGCCATCTGAAGGGAAGGTTTTACACCCCTGTGGAGAGCCCTGCAAAACCCCTCCATTCACCTTGAGCATAAATTGCTCCCAAAACTCACTGAGCATAAATTGCACTCTCACCCGTGGGCAGCTCGAGGTTTTTGCCTGCAAGGCGCCGAGCTCTGGTGGGTTTCTGGAGCCTGGCGAGTGTGTGGTGCTGCTGGTTTGTCTTTTCGCTCTCTCATTGCCTGTGGGTGGGTGCTGAGTGCTCTGTGGGTGCCTCCCCACGTGGATCAAAGTGCGGGGCTGTGCTGGGACACAGCAGCATCGCTGGGACACACCAACCTGGCCAGTTCTTCCTGCTCTTCCCCCGCGCTTTGCTGCTGCTTTCTCATTCTCCAGGAGGGAGAACACTCAACCCCGGAGCTGCTGGATGTCCCTCCTTTCATCTTGGGCACCCACAGAGTCTTTGGGCTCATTTGTTCCTTCCCATTTTATTCCCCATCTCTGCCCTGCTGTTCCCCTCACCACACCAAGCTTTTATCACTCATCTCCCTGTGCTTGTTCCCATTCCCAGCTCCTGAACTCTCTGTTCCCAGCTTCTGGCTGGGCAGGAATCTTTCATCACCCTGCCTTGCTTTGCATTCACGCCCTGATCCATCACATTTTGCTCCTTCTGGATTCCCTGTGGCACCTGCAGGAATAAATCACTGGGGCTGGGTGTCAGGAGCCTTGGAGCACTTGATTCCCTGTTGTTAGAAGGAATTGCTTTTGCATTTACACAAAAAAAATTGCAAACCCTTCTCATTTTTCCTTTTTTTTCCTTGTCTTTTTTTTTTTTTTCAGCAAGATTTCTCTTACTTGGAAAAGTTCTTTCTCTAAAATCTTGTCTGCTAAGTGCTCTTGCTTCTGTTGTCAGGATCTGACATTCATTTCAGCTATTCAGCGTGAAAACCCTTTCCAATTTCTTTACCAGTGCTATTGATTAAAATGCAGTTTACTTTTCTGGGGAAAATTTGATATTCAAAAATGTCTTTTTACTGTGAGACAGAATGTACTTTTCCATGGAATAAAAATTCTGGAAAGAACAAAAAAAAATGCTATTGGAAATGTTGAACAAATTATATTGTTGTTTCAACCTGGTTATATAAGAAAAAAAGAAATAACTTCAAAGTCCAAATGAAAAGCTCTGGTATTTTTCTCATATTTTGAGAAAATGAGTACATTTTTCTCCAGCTGTTCAATTTTATCTGTTCAGACTTTTCCATATGAAACTCTGAGAATGTTCTGTACTGGCCTTAACTCCAAGTTCCTGTTTAACTCAGCTGGCTGTTTCAGGTTACATATTAAAAATGAATTATGAAGCTTTTTCCCCCTTAGTTTTCAACCATTGATGTTTCTTCTAGAAACTAATAAAACTATTTCCATTTTTGTGTAGAAGTCTGTGGTTCTCAGGCTATAAATGCTGTATGGTACGATTATTTACAGTTTTGAAAAAAAAAACTGATGGAAAAGATCTTTGGAATGCAACAGGTTAAAATTTAATTTTGCAGATTAAAGATCAGAAGATGTCTGTGATAATTTACTGCTGGTTTGGATGCCCTCACATGATGCTCTCCCTGTCAATATTGCTGTGGTAATTTTGGGGGTTTTCAATATTTTTCCTTAATTGAAAATTCTTTGCTGTGCTAAGTAGAAAAGACCTGAGCTCTGCACTGAGCTGCCTAAATTATAGAGGAAAGTTTGGTTTTCACTCTAAAATATAATCCCTGAGGAGAAAGGTGCCCTGGGGGTGATGGGATTTGGGCTTTGGGTATGCTGTTCTTTATTTATTGTGCATTTCACTGGTTTTGGGTGGTGTGGCCTCTCATGGCCACTGCCAGAAGTCCTTTGAGGGTTTAGGTGCCTCCAATCTCCAGGACAATGCTGTCACATTGTTTTGGGGGGAAGTTCTGAAAGAAAAATGCCTCCCTGTGCTTTTCCAGCGCCATAATATCCTGATTATTCTTGAATTTTCCTCAGTCTGCAACTTCATGAACCCCATTATTCCTTGTCCTGAAGAGCAGCCACTCACACTTTCTCTGTTCTAACCTGTGCTTTCATCTCCCCACAGATGATTTTCTAGCCCTGGGACCTCTCCTTTGGACTCCAGTTGTCTTCCCAGCTCCAGAAGTGGTGCCCCAAACCCAAAAAAGACTTCAGAGAAGCTCCACCAGAGCCAGAGAGAGACTCCCCAACTCCCCAGTGGTGTCAGAAGGATGAATTTCCTCCTGAGCTCCTCTTCCCCACTCTGAGTTGTCTCCATCACTTGTTCTCAGCTCTGCCTCTGATATCCTTATGATTTGGTGACTATTTTATCTATTCCCTGCCTCTACTTCCCTATAATCTCTAAAGAAAATATTCCATACCTGTTTCACCTCAAGAAAAATTTCCATATCTGTTTCACCTCAAAAAAACCCTTCTATATCTATTTCCCCTCCTGTTTAACCCCTCAAAATTTGTGGGAGGGTGGCACAAAGAAAGTAAGTGGAAAAACCAATACATTTGCAAGCCAATTTGGAGCTCAGCAGAAAAAGAAAAAAGGAGCAAAATATTTTATGAAATCCTGGAAGGTGCAGGCAAATGGAAATTTTCAGTTTCAACTAGAGCTTTATTTTGGAATTCCTCAAGGGGAGGTTGGAATTCTGCCACACTGTAATAGTTTTGTATTGCAGAAAACCAGGAATGCCTCAGTCTCTTGCCCTGTACAGTTCACAGATTCTCACTACATTATGCAAGTCTGACCTGTTAATTTTATAAAGTAAAAAGAAGCAAAAACCTTTACAGGCTGATTTCCTGTGCTCAGAAAGAAATGCCTGGGAACTGCCTGGAGCAGATTCACACCTTCATTTAACTCCAGATTTCAATATTTGCTTTCCACAAGACTCTTGTGCCTATGGAAGCAGCATCTCCTCAATTTTTTGGGTGGCATGGAGGTGATTACCTTTAGAATAGAAGATTTCTGATGGAATTTTCTGTCAGCTTCTGCAAAATTTAATTAATTTCATGAGAACTTCACTGGGAAAATTCTTGTTCTAAAAACCTTTTATCATTGTGAGTGAGTAGCACATGGGAATGTGGTAAATTCAGCTGAATTTCATTGCATAAATTCTTGGCATTTGTATAATTTCAGGGAGTTAAAACCTCATGTTAGAAAGAAATCCAATAGTTTAGTTGCTGAAGGAGCCATAACTGATGGGAAAGGTTTGTGTTGGATTTGAAATAATAAAGTTTAACTGCATTTTTTCTTGAGTGGAGATGATGCAGAGAAAGAGAATTTTATTTATAATGGCCAAAATCTGAGACAAGACAGCAATAACATTTTTTCTGAGAGACTTCCTTTAAGCAGCAAACTAATTTAAAAGGTTTTTCTTTCAACATCCTTATTAGCCATAAAAAATGCATCTCTAACGGTGAATTTATTCTGCATGTTTGGACTCATCCTGGCTTGGAATCTAACCAAGAAAATGCTGCTGAATTTCCATCCCTCAATGTTTAATTTCAGGTGTGGCTGCCCTCATCAGCTGAAAAATATGTCCATCAGAGGCCTGAAGAAGAAACAACCAAAGACTTTTAAAGTCAGAATTATAACAGTGGATGCTGAGATGGAGTTCAGCTGTGAGGTGAGTGTGTCAGCAAATGCTGGGGAGTGCCCTTTGTGTTAGCAAGAAATTGGAAAAAATTCAGATTATCAGCTCGTGGTTGGTCTTAAAACTGATCTGTTATTTTTATAAATAATGGATTATTTAATCTCAGGTGTGTTCTCTTAACTCTGTTCAGGATTTAAAGCTGTTTGCATGAAATCCATTTGACTGACACAGCTAAATTAATACTAAAACTGCTTTCTTCATTCCAATTGTTTGTAAGAATTCCTATTTCTCCATAAAATTCTTTTTTTTTTTTTTTTTGGAACTGACACAGCTCTTTAAGACACATCCAACTTGGATAAACTGGTCAGAGCTGGTGCTAAGATGTTGATGAAATAATTTATAAACTGGTACTTTTGTTGAGCAATTTTCCCTTTATGAACTCCAGTTCTTTACCTGCAATGGGTGTTTGGATCTCTGGGCAGAAGAGAAAAAAGGATTGATGAAAAAGCTGGCAGTTCTATTAATTATGGCTGATAAATTAATTAAGGAAATCATGGCTGGGGAAAAAAAATAAATGATCAATTGCTAAATAAATTGGGCTGCACTATTGAAGGGACAGAACTGTCCCTGAGAAATTAATTCTTAATCATCCAGCAAAAGCAAAATAAGACACAGAGGTGTTTTGGGGAGTTAGAAAACCCAGTTCCAGTGGGACTGTCAGTTTTAGTGAGACCTGACTGCTCTGTGAGCCATTTAATGTAATTTATTAGGTCCTTCAGAAACAGGATAGATTAATCTTGGATGACTTACTGCTCTGCAGTACTTGCAGGCAGAATTGTGAAAATAAAGGATTTGGAAAATCTGATTTAGAGCTCAGAGTCCTTGTTAGGAAATAGTGTGTTCCTTCCTTTGCTACCTCTCCTTTCTCCCCAGACCCTGCTCTTTTGCTGGGGTGATTTCCAGCTTTCCACTCCCAATACTGCCTAAAAGTTCCCCTTTTTTTTTTTTGGCCAATAATTTTTTAGTTTTAGCAATTAGCTAAAATCATCTTTCTGAACTGTGGTGGAACAGAGGAGCAGCCCCTTTGGTGAGGGGAACAAGGCATCAGGCTTGTGTGAATTTGGGACCTTGAATCAAAGTTTGCTCTCTGTGGCTGCTAAATTGAAATGAAAATATTGAAGAAGACTCATTTAAATCAGAGCAGGATAAAGGCTTGGCCTGGTGCCACTGAAATACCTGAGGGGTGTGAAAGGTGGATCTGTTCTCATTGTTCAGCATTCCTACCCCGTGCCCTGATTTGATTTCCCTTGGCTTTCTCTCAGTCTCTCCAATTTGTATGAAGCATTGAGTGAAAATTTTGGACAAATATTAATAAAGACTTGCCACATCCCAGGGAATCAATAATACAATCCTCATTCCCTCAAGTGCTTGGTGGGGAAATGACTCCAGCTGCTCTCTGGATGTGTCTGGAGAGGGAGAGGAGGGGGAACCCAGCAACTCTGACACAGCAGCAAGAATATTTCATTAAAAACCTAAAGATAAAATAAGATTTCATAGGAGAAAAAGCTCAAATGGAGCAAATTAATTCAGGATATACATGTTTTTCTTGATTTTTCTCTCTCTCTCAGATGAAGTGGAAGGGAAAGGATTTGTTTGACCTGGTGTGCCGAGCCCTTGGTTTAAGGGAGACCTGGTTCTTTGGCTTGCAGTACACAATTAAAGGAATGTGCACCTGGTTAAAGATGGACAAAAAGGTACAGCAGACAACATGGGTGGCAATTAATTATTTACTTCTATAAATATTGACTTTCTGGAGCGTGAGAGCTAAAGGGATGGGTTCCATGACAACTCAGAATTTGACATGGTGGCTTTCTTTAAGGTGAAAATAGGATTATTTGCTCTGATTGCTTCTATCCCATTTGACCTGCAGCATCCCACACTAATCACCACTGATTGCTGTTAGATTAAAGCTCAGAATTACCCTGCCCTCTAAAATATGGGAAGGCTTTAAGTGGATTATAGGCTGCTTTCTGATTTTCCTTGGCAATATTATCTTAAGACACTCATGTATCCTTTTTGCTGCTGATTTGATTTTATTTTATCTGTAAACAGGTTTTAGATCAAGAAATCCCCAAAGAAGATCCCATTAGCTTTCATTTTTTGGCTAAATTCTACCCAGAGAAGGTAGAAGAGGAACTCTTACAGGAAATTACCCAGCATTTATTCTTCCTTCAGGTCAGGAAAAGTTTTGAACCATGAATTTCTTCTGTATTTCCCCCAGTCCTTTTGCATTGTCTTTGATCTTGTTGGCAGCTCAGGATAATTTTGCTTGCTTCAGCTGTATCAAGAACTTTGTAGACATTATTTTTATGAAACACAAACATTTCTCCTGCCTGCTGTGGGTTTGTGTCCAGGTAAGCTGAATGTTTCATTTTCTGCAGGTTTTTGTGACAACACCCAGCAGTTTGGGGGATAATTCCAAACCTGAATATTCCAGGCTTGTTTTGCTCTTTAATATGTGTTTAAAAAAATTAAAATTCTATGCAAAGCTGGAGTTTAAAAATTCCTTCCAAAGCTGGAACTGCTGGAAGAACTGTGAGGCTTTTAGAGAAATTTTGTGCTGGAGAGCAAAACCTCTAGAAAACAAAGACTCCCTAAACCTTCATTTTGGATTGTAGGGATAAAAGATCATGGAATTTGATAGGCATTCTGAAATCCAGGTTTGTTCACATGGCAAGGTTTGAGAGGAGCAGAGCAGCAAACATCATTTGAGCTCCATCAAAAAGCAGATGAAGGAGCAAATTCTTGGAGCTTTACCAAAAATAAAGATGGATCAACCAGGCAAAGCTGAGTTTGGGATGGTCAATTCCCATATCTGGGACATCCAGCTTCTCTCCTGAGTTGCTCTGGAGTCTCTCTGGAAGTTTCAGCCCCTGGAGTGTTGCTTTGTTCCAGCAGGATGAGTCTGTGCAGGTAGCTGGGATAAATTCAGTCTGCAGCTGGAAATAAACCCAGTAAATCCCCTTGTTCCTTGAGGAGGATGTGCTGATGAAATATTGGGGGAATGCTGCAGCTCTGAGGGTTCATAAACCCACCAGAACCTCATCCAGAACCTTCAACCACTTGGCAATTTATTTCTTCAGCTAATTTTGGAAAGGAATGAGGACAGCAGAACTCTTTTAATCCTGATTTTTCCACTTTTTTTTTTTGCTTTTCTGCTTGAACCTGCCTTAACTAGCAGATATGCAATTAGCAAATTCTTCTCATTCCAAAGTAGGAAAACAAGGCTGAAACAAATTGGAACTTGCAAAGTTTCCTGAGTGTAAGAACTTCAGCTCACACCTGGATGCTAATAGGAAAAACATGTTCAGACATCTGGATGCCTGAAGATTTCAGCTCTCCTGACTCTTCAGACCTTTGCAAATTAATGTGGCATAAATGCCTGAATAAATGTCAATGACTAAAGCTAAATATTATCTGCTTAAAGATGAGGTATTTTATTGCTTCTTCATGAAGTTCAACAAAAAGTCCCTGTAAAAACTGATCAGAAAAAAACCCCAAACAAACAAATCGACCCAGACACTTATGGGGGATTTATCCACATTGTTCTGAATTCTGGAGCATGATTTACACTCTGGAGAGTGAAAGCTGGAGCTTTCCAAATTGGAAGAAAAATCTTTCCATTCTTTCCATTTTAACAGCTTAGAAAGAATGTTCCCTGCACTGTAACTCAGCCTCACAGATTGTGCTCACCAGGGACTAAATTTAAAAGCAAAAAACTTTCTTGGTGGCTCATTTCAGTTCCCAGCACCTACAGAGGTGTGTTTGTAAACAGAACTTGTGCTAGCTCAAGACATTTTTCCATTTGGAAATGTTGAAGACTGTGAGCTATGCAAAATTTTGTTGCCTTGTGCTTGTTCCTAAGCTAAATACACCTGAGAGGAGGATTTGGGAAGATTAATTTCCCCTTCCCTCTCTGGGTTTTCAAACAGAAATTGCACAACTGATTTAAAATCAATCAACACCTTACAAACTATAACACCTCTGCTCTTGGTAGCACCACAGGTTATTAAAATGAAAAGAATGTTGAAAGACTCTTTAGCATTGTCTGATTGTGCTTAGACCACTGAAAATGAATAAATGAAGTGCTTTATTATTCAGCTGCTCTTTTGAGGATCTCCTTTATTCTCTCATTCTGGGAAGCTGCAGAACATTTGTTATGGTTTTTCTATGGCAGCTGCACAGCCCTGAGTCTGCTCTGCTTGGACCTGACCTCCAGAGCTCCCTCCCAACCTAAAATCTGATGGCTGATGTGATGCAAAGCTGACTTTTCCAAAGGCAGGAAAAAGAAAAAAAGAAGGATTGTTAAAAGAAATGAAGCGCAGACAATAAAATTGATGTTTTATAGGATTTTCTTTTATAGGACTCCTTATGTTAGTGTGTGCAGAGAGCTGACTGGCATTTTTGGTCTCATTAAATGCAATGCTAACTAAAGGCTTCCTGTGTTCCTGAATGCCAATTTCTTGTTGCTGTTATTAACTCCTAAAGGTGATATTTGGTGCCAAGTTCTAGTCTGGGCATGTCTGCTTTCATTTCAAGCCTGACTTAAGTCCTGACTTTGAACTTGTTCCCTTTTTCTGTTGGTTTAGGTGAAGAAGCAGATCCTGGATGAGGAAATCTATTGCTCACCAGAAGCTACAGTTTTACTGGCTTCTTATGCTGTTCAGGCCAAGGTTTGTGCATAGAAAATCTCTTTTTTAATTGACTTTTTTATGGTTTAACCAACACATCTACGTGGTGGTGTGTAAAACACAGCAGGGGTAAAATTTGCTGGTGAAGTTGGTCATCCTGGAAGATACAGCACACTTAGAAAAATACCCCAAAATATTAAATGCCATTACAAGGATTTTTTTCTATGCTTCTGCAATTTAAGGGATTTATTTGGCCCTAACATTTTAGTGTGATCTTTCTTTCTGGAAGGATCTTCCTTGGGGTGCTCAGATGAGGGGATGTGTGCAGGGGAGCCAAAATAAAATCTGCATTAAGCTTTCACTTCAAACTATGCAAGGAACAACTCCCTCAACATTCTGCCTCTAACAAACTGAAATAACTTTTCTTTTTTTGGGACAGTATGGTGACTACGACCCAAATTTCCACGAGCCAGGCTTTCTAGCCCATGATGAGCTGCTGCCCAAAAGGGTGAGTCTTAATTTGATACAAAACCAAATCTTTGAATCTCCTTTTTTGCAAATACTTGAATCTCCTTTTTGCGGTGCAAAATATTTGAATCTCTTCTTTTGCAGTATAAAATATTTAAATCTCCTTTTTACAGTGCAAAATATTTTAATCTCCTTTTTACAGTGCAAACTATTTGAATCTCCCTTTTGCAGTGCAAAATATTTGAATCTCCTTTTTGCAGTATAAAATATTTGAATCTCCTCTTTTGCAGTGCAAAATTTTTAAATCTCTTTTTGGCAGTCCAAAATCTTTGAATCTCCTTTTTGCAGTGCAAACTATTTGAATCTCCTCTTTTGCAGTGCAAAATGTTTGAATCTCTTCTTTTTGCAGTGCAAAATATTTAAATCTCCTTTTTACATTGCAAAATCTTTGAATCTCCTTTTTGCAGTGCAAAATCTTTGAATTCTCCTCTTTTGCAGTGCAAAACTTTTCAGTCTCCTTTTTTGCAGTGCAGCTATTGCTGGGGATTAATTTAAAAACATTAATTAACGTTAAATTCATTAAAAACTCTACAAAATGCCCAAGCTGTGAGCTGCACCTCTGCATTCACTTTGCTTGGGAGAGGCAGAACTGGAATTTGGATTTTCCCAGGGATCCAAGCTCCCTCCTTGTCCTGCAGGTGCTCAGGCAGTACCAGCTGACAGCAGAGATGTGGGAAGAGAAGATCACAGCTTGGTATGCAGAGCACAGGGGTATTGCCAGGTAGGAAACCTTTGCATTTCTTGGAAAATTTCTTTATTTATGGGATTTGTTGTTCTCAGTGTAATTCAGCCTGTCTGGAAATCCAATTAAACAATAAATAAGATCTGTTAGCACCCAGAGGCAGCTTTTCCTAATATTTGGGTTCTGTTTCTTTCTGTTCTGGAGGCTTCTTAGCATTATTTTTATTGAATATTTTCCTCAAGATTTACTGATTTACTTTGAAGGGAGGAGAAAAGTGGGTGGAGCCCCATTCTCCAGAGAAGAAGAGATTCTCACTCTTCTTTGGCCTTGGCCAAAAGCTCTGTCCAAGACTCATTTCTCAATGAACTCTATTTCCTGAAAGAAATATATTCATGGAAAACAATGGAAGGGTGGTTTTCCAAGACATGGAGTGGCAAAACTAACACAAGGATAAGACTTTTAATGAATTTTAATGAAGATTACACTATCCATGAGTCATCTTTTGAAACAGATGCAACTTTTATTCTTTATTATTCTTTATTTTATTCTTTATTCTGTCCAGATGCTGTTTTTATTATCTTTTTTTTTTTTTTCTATTATTGAGAGCAAGATGGCAAAACTAAGTTTGTACAAAGGGTCAGATTGCCTGCTCTATTCTGAGTGGGAAATGGAGAGTCAGCCAGGAGAGAAAGGCTGGAAAAGCATTTAATAATCATGGCTTTATTCTCCAGGGATGAAGCTGAGATGAACTATCTGAAAATTGCCCAAGACTTGGAAATGTATGGTGTCAATTATTTCCCAATTGCTGTAAGTGCCTTATTTTAGCAGTTTTGATGGGCTGCAGATATTGGTGCTGTCCTTTTAAAGTCCTCCAGGGAGTTTGGAACTGGGACTCCTGACTTCTGGTTGTGTTCTGACTTGGTTTTCTTGCCTGCTAAATAAGCAGGTGAATAAAACAGTTAAGATTAATATTTTACAACCTGACAGAAGTTTTGAGTAACTCCAGGTAGGGAATAGGAAGGAGAAATAGTTTGAGCTGCTATGAGCAGCCTAGAGGACTGAGTTTTATACTTCCAGTGACAGCACTCATAATATTTTATATAAACACCAATTGCCTAAATACAAGCAAATGTCAATATATTAAAAGAGATGCTTTGGTTCTGTGGTTGTTTAGTGTCACCAAAAATGCCATTTACTCATCTCTCTTGTTTTTTAGCAAAACAAAAACCACACAGATCTCCTGCTTGGAGTTGATGCCAAAGGTATTCATATCTACAGCATTAATAACAGGTTCTCCCCCAATAAATCCTTTGAGTGGAGCTCTATCAGAAACATTTCCTGTAGTGAGAAAGAGGTATGATGGCTTTGATGTATTATTCTTTTTCCATGGGCATGGGTGTGGACTGGGATTCTTGGAACAGGCTGAAAGCTTCCTCTGTTGAAATAATTTTGGGGGAGAAGGGGAAAATCCTGGGGAGCTTTGTTACAAAACTAAAAATAACAGCCCTGCCTTGCAGATGAGCTCTGAACCTCAGTTCCCTGAGCTCTGACTCTGTTCTGGCTCCTTCCCTGCTGCTTGGCCTTTGCAAAACAAATGTGTTGATCTCTGAAAAAGACAGATATTATGAATGCCACCGTGCCTGCCTTCCTCAGTTATCCCAGCAGGAATTCCATGATCCATAAAAACCTAAATGCTGCTTGCACACACAGAAGTCCTTGCAGCTGAGCTTTGGAGCCCAGTGGCAAGAGGAGACATGCAGGGAGGTATTAATGGTTTTCTGCCTCACTTCTGCCAGTTTGCTGGGACATGATTTCACTCCCCAGCACTGCAATTTCACTGTGAAGCCCAGCTTTTGCTTCTAAGAAGGGAAATTTATTCTCAGTCCAAATCATGGGCTGTGTGGAAGGCTATAATCAGAAAAAAACAAACCCAGGGAAACTGCAGTGGTGCTGGAATACCTGGAATTTGTCAGCCAAAGGACAGCACAGTCTGTTCCATTTTCTGTGGGGCTTTTGGAAAACAGCCCACAGAAACTGGGATCTAAAACTGAGATGAGATTTTAGATTCATATCCATTAAATCAGAGGGGACTGCGGGTTTGCTGCCTCCAGAACAGTTCTGGTCTCTGATATCATCAAACTGCCCCTGAGATGTGTGAATAAACTGCTTTAACTCCCTGTTGGGGGGAAATTTTGTGTTTAAGGTTCACTTTATTCAGTGACACATCACAGCCTTGCTCCTCAAAAGGCAGCCAGTCATTACCTAGAGGGTGAAAGGAGCTCCAGGACATGATCCTGGTGACTCAGATGCTCTGGAATTACACAGGAATTACCTTGCAAATGAATTAGAGGAATTGAATGCCAGGGAACCTGTGAGGAACAGAAGACAGGGCCTTAAAAATAATAAAAAAAAAGGGCCATATTTTGTTCTGAAGCCAAACAGAGCACAAGGTATGGAGTGAAGCACTGAGCTGGCAGCAGGAAAACCCTGCCTGGCCTCTGGGAACAGCTTGGGACTGAAAAAGTGGGGAAGTCTCCAGACTTTGACCTGCTGCTCTGAAAAACAGGCCCTTAAGGCCCTTGACACATTTGTTTATCCCTTCAATTGTTGCTGCTCTGAGAGGTTTGACATTTCCCTGGCTTTAAGGCCAGGTTCTAGGAGTTGCTTCTAGGGATTACTGCTGTGTCCTGTCCTCCTGATAACCAGGGCTTGTTCCAGAGCTCTGGGGACAGTGCACAGGTGGCATCAGGAAAATCTCCATCCACACTGGCACTGGGCTGGGCCTGGGTGTTTATTCTCCAACACAGCTTAATTCTGTGAACAAAACCAGTTTTACATCACTCTGCCCCTATTTGTGGCATAAATCACTGCTTCCCCAGAGAAAAATGAAGATGAGCTCAAGTTTGCATTGGTTTTAATAGTTTCAACTTGCTTTCCTCCTCACTATGCTTCCTTTCTTTTTTTTTCCCCTTTGCGTGTGTAGTTAACTATTAAACCCCTTGACAAAAAAGCAGAAGTCTTCAAGTTCTTCTCCTCTCAGCTCAAAGTGAACAAACTGGTGAGTGAACTGCTTTCCTGCTTTAAAGCTGAGCCTGGTGATACTGACTGAGAAATATTGTTTGTGAACAAAATGGTGATCTTGGGATCTCAGCCTGTGTAATTCAGGAAAATGGGATCAGAGGGAGATGTGGGACAGGAGGAATCTCCATCCTGTTACAAATTTACCTGAACTGTGTGTCTGGCTGTGAGCCTGCTCTGGGTACTGATTTTCTTGGAGCTGCCAGCACTTGTGCTGAAGTCAGAATTGTCCTGTGAGGCCAGTGTGGGCCTTTTGTCCCTCTGGCAAGGGCACAAATCCATCAAACCCCATTTGCTTTGCCTTTCCCATCCAGATTTTCCAGTTGTGCATTGGAAACCACGACCTATTTATGAGGAGGAGAAAAGTGGACTCCATAGAGATCCAGCAAATGAAAGCACAAGCCAGGGAAGAAAAAGCTAGAAAAAAGGTAGAATTTTCCTGCTCCTCTGTTGTTGAAGACAGTGATTATTACTGCAGCTCTGTATTCCACCAGTGTGTGTGTGGGAGGTGAGGAAGTGCAGCAGGACTGAATGTGGGAACAGCTCTGGCATCTGAGGAGGTCAGAGGTGTTTGTGTGGGAGGGGATCCCAAAGATTTGGGATCAAACCAGATCAATCCTAGGGCTCTCCCAGCAGCCTGAAATAACCAGGAGTGCCTGGCTGGGGAGTTCAGTGCTGCAAAGTTCAGGCAGCTTCAGCATCTCTGCTGAGCTGCAGAGCAGCCCCTTCTTCATTTGGTGCATTTCACTCAGGCCCAGGTGAGATTCTGCTGCAATCCCACTGTCACTGTCACATTTTCTGAAAAATCTCTGCCCAGGATTTTCTCCTGGAAAGCTGAGAAGCCTCAGAGAAAAAGGAAAACAATATTATCTCATTTGCTTCTCCTGTGTTTTGCTGCTTTGGAATGTGTTTGGACATTGTTTACCAACAGGTGGTTGTTTCATTGTTTTCATGTGAATTGTTTTAACTTAATGGCCAATCACTGCAAAGCTGTGTCTGGACTCTGGAAACAGTCACAAGTTTTCATTATTATCTTATTAACCTTCTATAAATATCCTTTCTGTATTCTTTAGTATAGTTTAGTTTAGTATTCTTCAATAAATATAATATAATAAAATAATAATTTAGCCTCTGAGAACATGGAGTCAGATTCATCATTCCTCCTTTCCTCGGGGGTCCCTGAAAATCCAACATCCCACCCACAATTGCTCATCCTGCTTCCAGATGGAGAACCAGAGGCTGGCCAGGGAGAAGCAGCTCAGGGAAGAAGCTGAGAGAGCCAAAGAGGAGCTGGAGAGGCGCCTTTTCCAGCTGGAAGATGAAGCCAGGCAGGCCAACGAGGCCCTGGTGAATATTCTTGTGCTTGATGGGCTTTCTTGGGTTGGAAGCAGGATTTTTTTTGACAGCAGGAATTGTAGCTCAGACAAGGCTGGAGAGTTTCTGATCACTGGTGGAGAGGGCACGCAGGAATCCCTGGGAAAACCCTGATCTGCCATAATCTGTGAGCCATTCCCTCCATTTGGCTCACAGTGCTCTCTCCAGGCTAAGAGGAGGGGAAAGAAAACAATCTGGGAGCTGACATTGGGAGAAAGAAGCAGCTGAAGGGGTTGGCTTCAGCTTTGTCCAGCTCTAAGATTTTTCTCCTTTGCTTTGTAGAGGTGAGACACAGGAAATTCTGGAGCAGAGGAGGAACATCAGACCCTTAAATTGTCTGATTTTTATTTAAGAAATAATATTTTATCACTTGGTAAAAGATGTCTTCTGCCTGCAGGGGTGATTTTGGAGGTTCTAGATAAGGAGAAAAAATTAAGAAAAATTCTTTCTCCTCAGCTGCGATCCCAGGAAGCAGCAGAGCTGCTGGCTGAGAAAGCCCAGATTGCAGAGGAAGAGGCCAAGCTGCTGGCCCAGAACGCTGCAGAGGCCGAGCAGGAGCGCCAGAGGCTGGAGATCACAGCCCTGAAGAGCAAGGAGGAGAAGCGGCTGATGGAGCAGAAGATGCGGGAGGCGGAGCTGATCGCCGTGAAGCTGGTGAAGGAGTCGGACAGGAGGTGGGGTTTGCTTCCGCGGCTCTGTGTGCTCCCAGCTGGGCTGCAGGGAGTGCTGCTTGCCCCAGAGCCCAGCCCAGGAAGGGGGAATTTCTCCTGAAGTGACACTTCAGAGGGACTAAGCCTCCTTGTGCCTTGTTTGTTCCACCTGGATGCTGTTGTTGGATTGCAGGTCAAGTTACAGAGGATCGGATGCAACGCTTGTTTGGCAAGAAAGAGAATGTTTGGCAGGAAATGGCTGTTTAACAAGAAAGAGAATGTTTAGCAAGAAAGATCCAGAATGCTGAAGCATCTTCTATTCAGTGTTATCAAATAAGCACTGGCTACCTGTCTAAATTTACTCTTTATACCCTGTGAGATAAGAGGCTGTTTTCATTCATTAGTACCAAGTGAATGGTCTCTTGTTTCCCTTTCAGATCTTTAGGAAGTGTAAAGCCAGGTAAACTCCTGGAATATAAACAGCTCTGAGTGTTTGCATGTTCCCTGAATGTGCAGAGCAGGCCAGTGTTGACAGAGGATTTTTAACCCTGTTATTAAGAAATCCTTCTACTTGTTTTAGGAAGCTTGCCAAAATAAGGAGCAACCTCTCCCCACCTCAGGGAGGATCTGATGGCCTGGAGAGAATCTGTATCAGCAGGTTTTAAGTGAACCCATGGAAATTAGGAGTAGGAAAATCATGGTAATTCAGCCACTCTGTGCAGGAGTGTCTCTGTCCTGCTGTGCCCAGTCAGGAGCATCCTCCATGAGTGCCTTGGTGTAAAGATAACACAGTAGTGGACTTCTCTGGGAGGTAGTGAGCCCTGAAATCCCTGTGTTGGTTGGAAACCATCAGAATTGCCCTCAGGATGTTTCTCTTGCAGAGCCAAGGAAGCAGAGCACCTGAAGCAAGACCTGCACGAAGCGCGCGAGGCCGAACGCAAAGCCAAGCAGAAGCTCTTAGACATAACCAGGCTTAATTATCCTGTGAGTTCTGCTCCTGTGGGCACCACTTCATCCTCAGGGATAGTCAGGTGTTGATGGCATTTTTATACCCCTCATCAAGCTGAGTAGTGGCATGGCTGCATCCAGCTGGGGGACAAAGTGGTGTGGAAAAAGCAGCTTAGCAAGGGTGGAAGCTGGGTTTGTTCGGGGTGGTCAGAAAGGCAAGGCAAGAGTTAAAACCAGAACTGGTGATGCACTTAGGGAGCAGAGGCTGTCTTGCATTCATGCCTAACTCATGGTGCCATTCAGCCAGGCAGATTTTGTGGACAGGGTTGTGCTGAGCCAGCTGTGTCATCCTGGCACGTCCATCCGTGTTTAGGCAAAGCAGGTGAAGTTGTCCCCTGCAGGAAGGCACTGCTGAAGGTCTGTGCCCCAACTCCCTCTTCTGCTCCAGCCCTGCTGAGGCTGGTTTTTCATTCTCTGCTGAAATAGAAACACTGCAGCCAGGATAAACCTCTGCTCTTGGATCTGTGGGTTGTGGACTTCAGCTGGGTGCAAGGGAAGGGCTGCAGGAGCATCTGTGTGTCTCAAAAACTTAGGAAATAGCTCAACATGGCACTCTTTGGAGATAAATCCCAAATCCATCAGATCTGGCTGACAGTGCTTGTGTTGCCTCTTCCAGCACATGGCCAAGTACCCCCAGTACTCCCCAGGTGACAGCAGAGATGCCAACTTTGACAAAGGCTCCATCAAGCTGGATTTGAAGGACATCGACCTCAAGAGACTCTCCTTTGAGATAGAGAGAGAGAGGTATCAGCATGCTTGTGGTGCAAATGGATGAGAAAGGCAATGAAATCTTTGGACATCAGTTAATTTTAAAATAATTTGGGATGTGCATGTGGCTGGAGGCCTTTTACTGAGCTGATGTCTGTGTCACACTGGCTTTTCACACAGGGGAAGGGTTTTTTGGTGGCATCAAGCCATAAATAAATCCAGAACCTTCTCTCTTCGGGAGGGACAAAGCACCTTGCTGAACTAACAGCATGTGAGAGGACAGAAGTTTCCCTCTAGTGCTAAAGGGTGGAATTGCTGGGGGCTGATCCATCAGCCATCCCTAAGTCTGGGAGGAAATGCTTGGTGCAAAGTTAGGAAACAAAAAGGGAAGAAATGAACTTGTGACAAGGTCAGGGGAGCTAGGTTGGCATTGCCAGAGTTCATTTTACTTATAAAAGGTAAAATTAAACAAAAACCAGCTCTCCTCCTTCCACAAACACCTGTTCTTGATTGAATTATGCCACCCTAAACCTTTTGCCTCCAATGTGTGGGCTCAGGCTGGACTACTTAGAAAACAGCAGGAAATTCGAAGATCGGCTGAAAGAACTGAAGTCTGAAATTCATGCTCTGAAGCTGGAGGAAAAACAGGCTGGGCTTTACAGTCACTGGAATGAAGTCCTGGGCTCCTTGGATCGCTCCTTAGGAAGTGTAAGAACCCCAAATCCCTGCCCCTTTCTCCAGCATGAACCCCAAAATGGAACAGTGTGGGTGTGCCAAAGGGAGCTGCTCTATTCCAGTCCAAGCTTCACTACCTTTCTTGATAAAATATTAGAAGCATGACCACTTTTAGAGGAAAATTAATGTCAAAACAAAATCTTAAGGCCTTTTTTTCCTGCACTGAATACCAGGACCATCAGCAAAAAAGAATAATCTCATTTTTTTATGATTATGAAATCACAGTCAGGGTTTAAGGTCTTGGAGCAAATGAAATTGTTGTGACTAACACATTTAAATGTGGTTTCTTACAGTTTGCTTCACATTCTCATTCATGTGCTTTGTGGTTGCTGAAAGTCATAAAAGCCTTGGTGTATTTTTTTTTTTTTTGAAGGCAATGAGGAACTAGACCCAGATTTTTGTCATAAGTTGCTTTTTATTTAAATAAACTCTTTGGCTTCTTCCTGCAGCAGGGCAGGAATAGGGCTGGCTTTGTCTGCAGGTTGTTCCTCATGTAGCAAAAATGGCTCTGAGTCAATGGTTTTTTAGAGACAGAAGGGAGGCTTGAAAAATGATGAGGAAAGATGGTCTTTATTTTCTGACTACTCATCTGATGTTCTTTTTGGCTTGATGAGTGTTGATATAGAGAGGGCATTAAATTTCCATGTGCTCTGTTCTTTTAAAGGCCCCATCATGGATGAAAACCTTGGAAACTGGAGATGCAGTGGATGTAAATCTGCAAAGACCTTTCCCTGCTTACTTGTTAAACACTGCAAGCAGCTGGCCCTGCACCAACAAAATTCAGCACATGGTGCCAGTGGAAAAGTCATCTTCCCAAGCCAATTCCCTGGCTGCCAACAGTGTGGGCACAGGAACCAGAAAACAGATCATAAAGGTAATCAGATTCATAAATAAATTCCTAAATGTTGCCTAAAAGTTGGGAGTTCAGAGAGGGTGGCTGGTTTGTCCTGCTCTGTCCCAGCCTCACAGCTGACAAGGATTTTGCAGGATTTTGGAGCCCCTGGTGCTGGCACATCATTTGGGAATGTTTGTAACTCGAGGCTGCCTGTTTTTTCTCACTTCTGATCTAAGCTGGAGTGCAAAGCTGTAAGCCTTGGTAAATGAAGCAGAGATGTCTGTACACAGTAGGAGGATCTGTGTTAAATTTTATTTGTACCAGCCAGACTTGGAAATGAGAAGTGTGCTCCCAGGTATAGAGAGCTTAAAACATACTGTGCCTGTCTGCTGCTTTTAAAAGGCAGGGAGGAAGAGACCAATAAATCCCCAGGCTCCCAACAGCTCAGTTCTCTTCCATGTGCTCCCTGTCAAAGAGGCATGAAGAGCAATGAGCTGGGTGGCAGGAGAAAACAACCTGCTTTGAAATGTCACTGGGCTGGAGAATGAGGAAGAGCTGGAAGGAAATGTGCTCTGGAGCAGTGGGAAGGAAATCAGCTGTCTGTGGGCAATGCTAATTGGGCAAGGTGTTGGGAATGGGGAAAGCCTGATGGATTTGTTGTGGTTTAGCTGAACAAAACTGGAGGGGTTTAGGATCAATTAAAAGCTCCTGAATATAACATTCAATACCTCCTTCAGGGCTGGTGTGCTTAGAAGTAAAGGACACAGCTGAGTGCAGCAGCAGCTGAGGGAGCAGCAACAGAAACAACTTTTAAGATTAAACTCAGGGGTGAGGCAAATTTGTTTAAAGAAGGAAGAAAAAACTATTGCAGAGCATCTTGCAAAAGGCTCCAGAGTGGGAGGAGAGGAAGACCCAGAGCAAAGGGAGTCACTTCCAGCCAGCACTAATTCTCCCTCTTTGATTTGCCTGCAGGTTCAGCAGCATGACTCAGATGTGATCTACATTTGAAGCCCCTCATTTCCTTGCCAGCCTGGTGGGACTGGTGGCCTTTTTGCCTCTGTGGGGACACTTGGGCAGCTCTGGCTGCTGCCAGGTGTGAGGGACAAGGCACTGTGGATCCAGAGCTGCCACCCAGCTCCCAGGCAGGTGCCATCAGCTGGGAATGCCACCTTTTAGTGCCCCCAGTGTGGCTGGGAGCAGTGCAAAGCCAGAGGAAATGTTGTTTATTGCCTGTGCACTTTGGAAAGGAACACTTCACACTTTGCTGAAACCCTTCCTCCCCCAGGTGTTTCAGCTTTGCTGCTGGAGGAAGGATGTGAGGCAGCAAGTGCCCAGGAGGTGTTTGGGATGAGAAAACAGAACACAAGCTTGGTGTTTATCTCCACAACAGACTAATTATGGTTTTGGTCCAGTCCCTGGGACATGACTCCCACAGAGCTGCTTAACGTTTCAATGTTTGCCTGCCAAGTATTTTCCTTCTCCTCCCCAAACATTTCTTGGTTCACTTAATTGATTTGCATTTCTCTGTGAGAAATCTCAGCTTTTAATTCCAGATGCACAAGTGGACATCTTCAAGTACCTCCCATTCCTGGGGGAATCCTTTGTTTGTAATGCAAAGCTTCTGTTCTTCCAGTCCCTGACCAGATCAAGCATTTTCTGCTCGAGCAAACTGTGCATACATTAACTGCCTTCCCACTTGTGTGCAGAACAGCTCCCAAATTAGACAAAGACAAAAGATGATGTTGGTGTCTGCTAAAGTGGGACTTGTTTCTGGTGGAGAGAGGTGCATGCGGCAAAGTGCCTGCCTCATTAGTAAAGCCCACTTGCATTTTCTGGTTTTGTGTGTGTTTAAGTGTCTGCTTCTCCATAAATCTTCGCTCTGAGGACTTCTGGGGAAGCAGACAACATTCAGCTGCAGCTGAAGCAGGAGCCCGGCTGAACTTGTGACATGTGACTTAAAAATGAATGGTTATGTTGTTAAATGTCTTGTTCTAAAAGCTGAGATTAAAGAATAAAGCAGGGTTCAACAAAAAGCTTCAATTTCCACTTGCTTCCAAGGGAGCGCTGTGTCAATATTCCTCCAGCATTAACAAGGCAGCTTTGGAGAACAAACACCCAAATCTGCCCTGTACACATCTGCAGCAGGCTGAGCACACAGGGGGATGGCAGCTGCCTGTGGAGAGGGACAGGAGTGCTCTGCAGGGCTGCCCTGCCTTGCCTGGGTGCCTTGGGCTGTGGCTGTGTCCATTCTCTGCCAGCCCAGTCTGGCACGAGATGTTTGCAGAATATTGGCTGGTACACACAATTCCTGAGCTGTCTGCAGAAACCTGGTGTGTGAAGCTGTCAGAAATGCCAGAATGATGAGGCAGATGTTGTCATGGTCCCAGGGCTGGGGAGGGGGGCATGGGCCAGTGTGATGGTGTTCACAGGGGTTTTCAGCTGGGGGAAGAGACGAGAATGTTGACTCCATGTTCAGAAGGCTTGATTTAATATTTTATGAAATACGTTACATTAAAACTATACTAAAAAGAATAGAAGGAAAAGTTTCATCTCAGAAGGCCAGCTAAGCTAAGAATAGAAAGGAATGAATAACAAAGGTTTGTGTCTCGGACAGAGACACAAGGTAACTGGGCTGGGATTAGCCATTAATTATAAACATCTAAGATGGGCCAATCACAGATGCACCTGTTGCATTCCACAGCAGCAGATAATCAATGTTTACATTTTGTTCCTGAGGCCTCTCAGCTTCTCAGGAAGAAAAATCCCAAGCAAATGATTTTCATAAAAAGATGTCTGCGACAGGCCAGGATTTGGGACAGTGAACCATCTCCTGTGTTAGCCAGGAAATGCTGCAGCAGCTTTGAGTGTGGCATTCTCGGATTTGAGGGTGAGGAGAAATACTGGGATTCCCCTGGTTCTTCTTTTCCTGTTCCCTCTTTTTTCTGGCATGTGCCTTACCACAGCCAAGGCAGTTTGTGCCTCATCCTCCACACGTGCTCATTCTTCCTTCTGCTCCTGGGTCTGAGCTGTGGCCCAGAGGAGGAAACCTGCTCCATGTGCAGCTTTGATTTATTTCTTTGGACTTAGTCCTGTAAATCCCAGTGAAGAAAAGGGCAAGGTCACACTCCTGCCAGCTCCAATACAAACCCTGCCTTTACATGCTGTTCTCAGCCTGCTGTGGCCTTGCTGGGCATTGCTGCTGTGCAGCACCGCCTTGCTGCAGGCTGGGATGGGTGTTTGGGCTCTGAGGTGGGCCAGGAGGAGCTGGGATCTGCTGTGAGGCTTTTAGGTGGAGAAAGAGGAGCTGGCATGTGTTGTGAGCATTTTAGATGGAGAAAGAGGAGATGGGAACTGCTGTGAGCCTTTTAGATGGAGAATGGGGAGCTGGAATCTTGTGTGAGCCTTTTACATGGGTCAGGAAGAGCTGGGTTGTGCTGTGAGCCTTTTGGGTGGAGAAAGAGGACCTGGAATCTTCTGTGAGCCTTTCAGAGGAAGAAAGGGGAGCTGGGAACTGCTGTGAGCCTTTCAGATGGGTCAGGAGGATCTGGAATTTGCTGTGAGCCTTTCAGATGGGTCAGGAGGAGCTGGGATCTGCTGTGAACCTTTCAGATGGGCCAGATGGAGCTGGGATCTCCTATGAGCCTTTCAGATGGAGAAAGAGGAGCTGGAATCTTCTGTGAACCTTTTAGGAAAGAGGAGTTGGGAACTGCTGTGAGCCTTTTAGATGTCAGGAGGATCTGGAATCTGCTGTGAGCTTTTTAGGTGGAGAAAGAGGACCTGAGATCTCCTGTGAGCCTTTCAGATGAGGCAAGAGGATCTGGAATTTGCTGTGAACCTTTCAGTTGGGGCAGGAGGAGCTGAGATCTGCTGTGAACCTTTTAGATGCCAGGAGGAGCTGGGATCAGCTTGAGCAATGCCCAGCCACACATGGAGTCAGGTGTGCTGTGCCCTCACAGGGAGGCCGCTGCAAACAGAAGTGCCAGCAGGGTGTTGATCTGCTGAAACCCTCAGTAAATATTTGCAGCAATTAAACTCTGTGAGTTGGTGCTTCTGCTGCTCACACTCACCTGCAGCATTGACCACAGGATCTGAGACTGAGGGAGGAGCTCTGAGGAGCCTGAGCCCTCATTTCCCCCAAGAAGAGAACACAGATCCAGTTTCTCCTCAGTGACTGCAGGGTTTGTCACCCTGAGGGGTGTGTGAGGCATTTCTCAGCTGCCTGCTGGGGAGCTGGGGAGCAGCAGGCAGCAGATGGTGCTGCAATGCTGCTCTGCAGCAGCCTGGGAAGAGCTGCCTGGGAAATCCTTGGGAATCTGTGTTCCCACACCAGCAGGCTCCTGTTCTTCTCCTGGAGTTTAACCTGACGTCATTGTTGACAGGGATTCAAAATCTGTGAGTGCTGTGCTCTGGGAAGGGATTATTGCATGAGCAGCTCCGTGCTGTGCAGATCCCCCAAATTGCAAAAAAATAAATCACCTAATGCTTCTGACACCTCATTGTCATTGTCAGCCTGTGGAAATGGCCTGGGTGGGTTTCACCCCTGGCTGCCACAGCTCTGCTGCTATGTGATATTTTTATTAATGCTGCTTGAAACAAGCGTGGATTTGTCAAATTTGCAGAGCGTGGAAGAATTGTGGTGTGCAGTGCGAGGAGGGTGAGAGAGGCCTGAGAATGGGCCACAGGGGTCACTGAACAATTCCATCCTTTGTTTTCCTGCTGGAAAGGACACGATATTCTGGTCTCAAATAGCAAAAAAAAAAAAAAAAAAAAAAAGGGAGAAAAATTCCTGCAGCAGTGAGGAGGTGCTGGGAGATCACCTGGGGAGAAGGGAAGTCTGTTCCTAGAGTGACACAGCGAGTGGAAGTTGTGTTTCCTCAGCCCTGCTTGCTCTGCTTCTCTGAAAAACCACGTGCTGTAACCCCAAGGGCCTCTCCCTTCCCTCAGAAGCCCTGGGATGGGGAACTGTCACAGACATGTTTCATGAAAAATCCTTTCCTTAGGATTTTTCCTCCTGAGAAGCTCAGAGGCCTCAGGAACAAAATGTAAACATTGATTATCTGCTGCTGTGGAATGCAACAGGTGCATCTGTCATTGGTCTCATGTGGTTGTTTCTAATTAATGGCCAATCACAGTCAGCTGGCTTGGACTCTGTCCGAGGCAGAAGCTTTGTTATCATTCTTTGCTATTCTATTCTTAGCCAGCCTTCTGATGAAACCTTTTCTTCTATTCTTTTAGTATAGTTTTAGTGTAGTATATATCATAAAATAATAAATCAAGCTTTCTGAAACATGGAGTCAGATCCTCGTCTCTTCCCTCACCCTGAGCCCCCTGTGAACATGGTCACACAGGGAACTGTGCACATGGGAAACTCCTTAGGGTGCCCCTGAGCTGTGGAAGGCAGCAAATGTTCAATCCTTGGAGGCAGCACATCCTCTGCTGGGACCTGCCTCTCAAAAACCAATTTATTTTCACCTCCTGGATGATCCAGGGCTGACCTGGCCCTGGAATTTGGGCACCACCACATATTTGGCTGAGCCCTGAGTCATCCTGACCCTTTCCTGCCCGTGCTGCTGCTCTGGAGCCACTTCCCAGCAGCAGGATGAGTTCACATCTTGCCTCTTGCAGAATCACACCCAAAGCAAATTCCTTCCTCTTTCTCCTTGCAAACATCCCTGTGTCTGCCTTGTGCCCTCTGAGCCACCAAGGTCTGCTGCCTCTTGTACCCAAGGTGTTTGCTGGGTCCTTCCCAGAGCATCCCTGCCACTTGTGCCCCAACCTCAGGGCTGTGCATGGAGCTCCAGGCTGAGACCTGTCCTTTGTCATTGTCACCTGAGCTCCCAGCCTGCTGCTCTTGGTGACACACAGTCCTGCTGTGCTGAGTCCTTGCTTGTAAAATCATCTTTTTTTCACTCAGCTCTATGGACAAAAGGCAGGCCCAGATGCAAAACCTGGCTGTGTTTTGTTATTTCTCATTCTCTGCACTCTCTGGCTCTTCCCCACCTTCCTGCAAGGCATTTTTGGGGGTCGCAGGGTCAGCTTTTTGGAAGGACACAGGGGAGCCCACCATGGGGCTGCTCTGAGGCATTGAGCCCTGGGTAAAAAGCAGGTTTCACACCAAAAAGCATTTTGAATCAGGAGTGATGCCTCTCTGGGAGGAGGAAGGGGCTTTGTCATGCTGAATTACACCCAGCAGGGTCCAGGCATGGAGGCTGCAGGAAAAAAGTGGCTCTGAAAAGGATGGGAATGGGCTGACGGGTGCCATTACTCCTGGCTTGGAGTAAAAGCAAAGGTTTCACAGCTGGGGAATTCACAGAGGGAAAATTCAGGAGAGAGTGTGATGGTGTTCACAGGGGTCTGAGGATGAGGGAAGAGACGAGGATCTGACTCCGTTTCAGAAGGCTTGATTTATTATTTTATGATATATATTATATTAAAACTATGCTAAAAGAATAGAAGAAAGGATTTCATCAGAAGGCTGGCTAAGAATAGAATAAGAAGGAATGATAACAAAGGTTTGTGGCTTGGGCTCTCTGTCTGAGCCAGCTGACTGTGATTGGCCATTAATTAGAAACAACCAACATGGGCCAATCCCAGATGCACCTGTTGCATTCCACAGCAGCAGATAACCATTGTTTACATTTTGCTCCCGAGGCCTCCCAGCTTCTCAGGAGAAAAAATCCTAAGGAAAGGATTTTTCATAAAAGATGTCTGTGACAAGAGAGTGTCCAGAGTGACAGCCTTGGCTGGCATTTGGGAGTGGAGGGATGCTGTGGGTGCTGGGATTCACAGATAAGGGGGGATAGAAGTAATTCTCCCCAAAATGTGACTCAGTCCCACATCCTGTGGTTGAAAAGGAAAGGGATCCAAGCAGAGCCCAGGATTAGTCTTGTCCCAGTTAATTCGAAAGAGAAATTCCAGAGAAAGAGGAAGTCGACAGAAAAAGCCTGAAAATTTCAAATAGCGCTATAAAAATCTTTCAGCTCAGCAGTGAGGTGGCCCAGGAAGCTCTGAGGGATTTGGCCAGAGATGAGGATGTGGAGGAAACCAAAAGGAGAGAAATAAAGAAACAGAAACCACTGATGATCCCAGAGGAGATTTGGTGTCCTGAAGTACTGCAGAGATGGGGACACGTCCCAAGGACAGTGAGATGGGATGGGCACACACAGGGAATGTGGAGAGTGAAAGGTTGGAACCACAAAATGAATCCAGCCATGAGGAGCAGCAAGGGGTGAGCTTAGGAAATGGGGGTGTCTGCACCCAGGCTGCCTCAGCTCTGCTCCTTCAGGGCACACAATGAGGGGTGTTGGAGGTGGGAGTGTCCAAAAAGGACATTCTGAAGGAAATTTGGCACAAATGCTGTTATCCTGCTGCCCCAGACTGAAGGGATGAGCTGAGCAGTTTCAGAGTGAGGCAGCTCACACCAAAACCACCTCCAGGCCTGCAGGGGAATGAGCGAAGCTTGTCCTGGGAAGGAATTTCCTGGTTTGCTGGTGCTTGGACAGCCTTGGAGAACATTGGATTCCACAGCAACACTGCTTTGAGGGACACCTTGGGCTCTGAAAGGCAGTTCTGGGAATGGGCCCTTGTGAAGACACGGCATCTCTCCTGGGAAGGAATCTCAGCTGCAGGATGGTTGTGGAATGTGCTGGTGGTGATGCCTTGAGAAGGCTGAGCTACAGCAGAGACCAGACAGAGCTAAAGAATAAAGCAGGGATTTATTAAAAGCATCTCCTCCATGGATCCACCTTGGGCAGTGCAAGAGCCCAGCCAGGGCTGCACCCAAGATGAACAAAAATGGTCACAAAATGAACCCAAGATGAACCAAAATCGTCCCAAAGTGCACGACCGCTCATGGGGTCTCTCACTTTTATCAGTTCTGCTCCATTTGCATCTTGCAGTTTATTGTCCAATTCCAGCTTTAGATTATGCTTGTTTTTCTTACTTCAATTCACTGTTTTTTATGCTCTTGGGCCTGAGATTTGGATCATTTGTCCTTGGTGCCCAGCTGGAGCAGGAATTGTTTTGTCTCCCTGCTCAGTGCAGAGCTCACCATCCCCTGATATGAAGCTCAGACCCACATACTAAAGCAGCACAGAATGTGAAAATGTAAAAGCATAAACCTGAGCCGTCAGTGGGACTGGTGTCCATGGGAGCAGTGCTTGGTTTTTATCTTGGCTCAGAAACCTGCATGAGACCCTTACAGCATCCCTGTGCAAACCTGGTTTCCTCTCTGTTGGTTTCCAGCCTGGCCTCACACCAGCAGCACCTCCTTCCTACCTTCACATGGACCAGTCCCTCATTTTTCAACCCAAACCTTTTGCATTTAGCTCTTTTCATGGTAGCATCAGTCCTGTGCTGTGTGCCAAGGGCTTTTCCCTGCCCCAGCCATTACCTGCCCCCAAACTGGAGTTCCTATTCCTGTTATCCCTGTTCCCACAGCAGGATCCTGCTCTGCACCGCTGCCTTGGATCCTCCTCCACCCCTCAAGGTCGTTGGAATCCCTCTGTGTGTGATGTCCTGGCCTGCTCCAGATTGATGATCCCATCTTGTTTTGCCTCATCAGCACATTTCCTCTGCCTTCTCCTGCTTTGTGTGCCAAGGTCATTAATGCAAATGTCAAGCAGGATATTTTTTGAGGCAGAAACTCAAGGAACTGTGTGGGTAAGCCCCTGTGAGTGTGACACAGCCCCTTCCAGCTGAAGCAATTACCATGCCCCTTTCAGGCAGCTCTTGACCAAATTTACTTTTCACATGCCAGTCACATCTCCCCTGCCTTTGCTCATAATTTACTATCTGGCCTTAATTCAAGTGTCTTCCTGGAGCCCAGATGAGTGAAATCTACTGCATTTCCTTCAGCACAAATACCTCTGAACTTACAAAAGGCAGCTATTAGGTGTGGTATTTCAAATATGTCAGGATAATAAGTTCACACAAAAATAGTTTCCATTATGTCAATGTGCCTGTAGAGGAAGAGCTGGGTAGCACAAAAATTTGGGTCTGCTGTCCCCATGTCCTGTGTCCTGTTACCAGTGGTGTGGGACAATGGATCTGCAGCTCAATTTTATTATTATTATTTCAGCTATTTGCTGATGGATTCAGCAAATGAGAATGGTGTTGATGTTTTAGCTGTTCCTAAATGGTGTTTTCCTTCATCAAGGACTCAGGAGCTACTGTAAAGGGGGCAGAGCCAGGCCAGGTGATCCAAGCTGATTTTCCATCCCATAGAAAATCCTACCCCAGCTCTCCTGTGGCACCACAGGTGCTTCCAGAACATTCCCCAAACAAGAGCCACCACTGGCAGCCCCAGGTGAGACACAGGTGTCACCTGTGGGGACAAACTGGGTGGCACCAGAGCTGGCAACAGCAAACCCAGGGCCCCCCATGGTCCCTTCTCCCACCTTGGTGCAAGGAGGCATCAAAACTGACTCTTCATTAACAAACACGTGGATATGATTGAAATGTTCTTTATTTTAGTGTATTATTCTGACATAGTTTAAATAATTTTTAGAAATTATTTTAAAAATAATGCTTAGAAAAAACAATATTTAGTTTAACTTAAATAAGTTAAATAAAATAATTTTCTCCTCTGAAGAAGGCTGGGGGTCAAATCCTCTCTGTTGTGCCCGAGTCTGGAGGCTGTGCAGGGGTGGGGTTGCGGCTGTCAGCAGGGAAGGCTCAGTTTTCTGCGTTCTGGAAGTGCTTCTGGAGCTTCTGCACCCAGTTTTCCTTTGGATCTGCACACAGCTCCTTCTTCCTCAGGGTGACCACACTGCCAGGACAAAACCTGCCTTGAGCTGCTGGGCTGGGGCAGCGGGGTTTGAGTGCCAGCAGCAGCACCCCGAGTGTCCCATGTGTGTCCCCTGGCACCCCTGGCAGTGCTGGGTACTCACATCACACCCATGTGTGTCCCCAGGTCCCCCTGTCACCCCTGGCACCCCAGGTCCCCCCAGGTCCCCCCTGGCACCCCTGGCACCCCTGGGTACTCACATCACACCCCTGTGTGTCCCCTGGCACCCCTGGGTACTCACATCACTCCCGGCTGGCTGCAGGAGCTGCTGGTGTCGAACACGGAGCTGACGAGGCGCTGAGGGATGGGCTTCGTCTGGTAGGTGAAGCAGCACTTGGTGGGGACACCATCTGTGAGGGCAGGGGAGACACACACGGCTCTGGTGAGAGCCCAGCACGGCCTCTGCCCTCTCCAGGGATTTCCACATCCCCTGTCAGAACCCCCTCCAGCCAACCACCAGCTCCAAACCTGTGCCCCCAATGTGACACAAACCCCCCCCAAACCCTCCCCAGAGCCACCCTGCCAGGGCTGGGACTCACCAAGGTGACCTTCAGCTGGGGAGCAGGTGGCCAGGAGCAGCAGAGTGGCCAGGATGGCTGCCAGGACCTTCATGGTGCTGTGGGCTCTGAGAGAGGAGCTGGAGATGGAGCTGAGGAGGCTGCAGGACTCTGTCTGTGGCCCTGGGGCCGTGCTCCCCTTTTATCCCCATCCCAGGGGTGGGCTCAGGGTTTCACAGGAGGAAAGTGAGGACATCGTACTAGGAAATTGTGTCTAAAAATTATGTTGGGATCATTAATTTTTGCTGAGCTGGAAAAGGCGGCGAAACCGCAGAAGAGGAAGCGCTGGCCACGAGGCTGCAGCTTCCGAGGTGCTCCTTGGGTGCCTGGTGCTCCCAAACTGTGTCAGGGCTCTGCAGCAGCTCTGGGGGTGCTGGCAGAAAAGCCCTGCAAGGAGAAAGATGCCAAATTCTCCCTGGGTTTGCCACTTTTCACCCTGCTCCACCACGGGGATCCAGAGCGAGGTCCACAGCCACTGCACACACGTTTGTCCCCACTGATAACACAGCTCCTACTTGGACAGGGAAAATCATGAGGGAATGAGGTTGTGTCAATCTAGAAGTCACAGTGGGCCTCACATTTGTCCCTTTTTGCTGGTGGTTGGTCAAAAGAGCAATTTCCTTACTGGAAAGGCTGCAGAGACATGGAGTCCCTGCAGGGGCAGGTGCAGGGCCTGGACTCTGGTGCCCTGCTCCAGGCCTGCAGCTCACCCTGCCACCTTCCTCTAACCCCTGGCTGAATTTATACTTCTATAAGGGTTTAATTTTTGGCTGCAGCCCACCCTGCCACCCTCCCCTGTCCCCTGGCTGAGTTTACACTTCTCTAAGGGTTTCATTTTGGCTGCAGCTGACCCTCTCCTCCTTTTCCTCTGACTGAATTTACACTGAAGAGTTTCAGTTTTGCTGCAGCCTCTCAAGGCTGAAGTTGTTGCAATAACTGCTTGCCCACTTCTTTCCAAGCAGGATCATTAAATCCAATTTAATCTCTCCTGATTTAGCCCCAAAAAGCAGAGACTCCCATGGTAGGACACAGGGTGGAGGGTTAGGGGCAGAGGGAGGAGAGGATCCTGCTGGTACCCACTGGGATCAGCTCATTGCACATAAAATCTCCAGGAAACTGCAGAGTGACTGAAAAAGGGCAGCATTTGCAATTCCAGAGGGTAATTCCCCAAACACCCCCCTCTACTGCACACCCAAACAAAGTGAGCTGCCAAAATCACTCCTTCCTCCATTTTTTTTGCCTTTTCCAGCCTTTTCTGGATGCTGCCACAGAGAGTTTGCAGTTACCATGCAAAGCCCAACTTCCCCTGGCCCTGCTGCTGACCTTGCCTGGGCTATGACTAATTCCTGACTGATTCAAGGGAAAAGTCCAAGTGCCCAAAATGCTGAGCCATGGCACTGCCTGTTCTTGTCCAGAAAAACTTTCCCCAGCCATCAGGTTCTGCCTGGTGTCAGCAGGACAGGGAATGGCTGCAAATCATCTCCTGGAGCTGCTCAGGAGGAGCTGATCTGGCCTTGAGGTGGTGGAAGAACAGGTCCAGCTGTTCCAGCTGTTCCTGCTCTTTCTCCAGCTCCCAATTTCCAGCTCTTTCTGTTTCAGCCACTCTGTGCATGGAGCTACAAATGAATAAATAAATTTATAAATCCTTTGGGTTTGCCAATAATCACTTGGCGTGGTTGAGGGAAGGCTTGGAAAATTCACCTGCTGTAAAGGCACCTGCTTGTCACATGCCCCTGGATGCACAAAGGCAAAAGGAAGGGGCTCAATTCCCCATAGTAATGCAGATCTGCATGAGTTTATTCTGTTTTTTCTGCTCTGCTGATTGCAAAGACACCAAGAGGTTTCTCCATAGCTCAAAGCTACCTCTGTGTGCAGAGAAGTCCCAAATTCAGGGCCTGTCAGTGGAAGTTTTTTGTGTTTCCATGACCCTCTCTGCCTGTAAATCCACAGGGATTTCCCCACAGCTCTGCCCTCCAGCCACCCCTGGAATTCTGGCACCTCTCCTGCCTCAGAGGGCCAGCTGGGCTTGTGCATGGGGGAGAAGTGGGAGAGGGACAGACAGGAGGAAGGAAACCAGGAATTGCTGTCTGGATCCACCACAGGAATGACATCCTGAGCTATCCAAAGCCTGGATGGGATTTTTTTCTGGAGCCAGGGATGAGCTGAGCTTGGCTTGGTGCCCAAACAGAGAGAGAAGGGGCAGGATGGGCAAGAGAGCAGCACTGGGGACCAACAAACACCAGGAGCATGGTGAGGAGTAAATATCCCACAGCCAGAAAAACCTGGAAACTGAGATCAGGGCTCTCTGGGCACTGCAGTTTCCACAGGATGAATTCTCATCCGGCAGGAACCACAGAAAATCTCACAATTAATAGATTATTTCTGATGGAAAAAGCAAAAAAAAATTAAATATTTCCTCTTTGCTGAAGAAGTGACTGGCCAAACTTTCAGTTCTCCATTCAGCCGAGGGCCGGATGGGACTTCTTACTGGATGCTGATGAAATACTTTCCATTGTGACTGGAATCGAGGACATTACAGAGAATTGCACAAAAGTGCAGCTCAGCATGAGCAGGCAGTGGATGTTTAATTCTGTTTAAGGAATTAGATATCAGGAACTGATGTAAAGGGAGAGTAAAGCAATGAGTTGTGGTTTTATTTCTCCTGCCGTGGAAGATCTCTGTGAGCAGGTGACAAGAGAGGAACAGGAATCTGGAGGGGAGGAAATAGAGGGAAAGAGAAACTTCAGCTTTACAAATGCAAATTTGAAAAATTAAAGAAAGCAAAAGCCCATTAGTTAATGGGGGGAGTAAAGAGCCAAAGATGCCAATTCTTTTTTGGCTTGTTTGGTTATGGTTAAGTTCTCAGTACCGCCAAAATTTTGTGCACCCAGGAGAGACAAGAGAAAAAAGAACAAATAATAAATAAGGAATAAATAAGGAAGGAAGAGGCAAATAATAAAGAGAAAAAAAAATAAAGAAAGAATAATAAAGAAGGAATAAACAAGGAAGGAGGAGGCAGTTGAGGCAGATGCAGCCAAAACAAAAGGGCTACAAAGATTCCCATAAATTGCTCCTGAGCCAGGCTGTGGCCTCCTCACCATCAGATAAACTCACATGGGGTGGAGGAGCAAATGTAGCGCTGCTCTCACAAAATCTGATGTCTTTTGCACTGCCTTGCATGAGTATCCCAAAGAAAAGGAGAGAATTAGGTCTGGAACCCCCTCACCCCCTGGGGCTGTGCAGAGGGACCATCCCTGACTGAGGGCAGGACAAGGGGGAGCAGCAGGGACAGTGTGGGGCCAGAGCAGACCCCAAATTCACTCTGTCCCAGGGTGAGGAACCTCTCCCTTAGTGCTCTTATCCCAGAAATAAGGGATAACAGAGAATCACAGAATATTCTTGAGCTGGAAGGGTGTGACAGTGGTCACAGGGGTCTTCAAGTGAGGGAAGAGATGAGAATGTTGACTCCATGTTCAGGAAGCTTGATTTATTATTTTATGATATATATATTACATTATAACTAACTAAAAAGAATAGAAGGAAAGGTTTCCTTTCAGAAGGCTAGCTAAGAATAGAATCTAAAAGAATGATAACAAAAGGCAGCTCTCTCTAACTCTGTCCGAGATATCTCGGCCTTGATTGGCCATTAATTATAAACATCCAAGATGGGCCAATCAAAAATCCACCTGATGCATTCCACAGCAGCAGATAACCATTGTTTGCATTTTGTTTCTGAGGCCTCTCAGCTTCTCAGAAGGGAAAAAAATCTCAAGAAAGGATTTTTAGTGAAAAGATGTCTGCAACAGAAGGGATCCACAAGGTGCATCAAGTCCAGCTCTGGCCCTGAGGCAGAGGGATGCTCTGGGGAGCACCAAAGGGATCAAAGCAACCTCTGCCTTCCCCAAGGCAGGAACCCACAGCAGGAAGAAATGAAAGTCGCAGCCAGCACCCCGATCCCGTGCAAGGGCAGAGGAAGCCACAGGGCTTATGCAACATCCCCCTGGAAGTGACACTCATTGATAAAAATGCTGCAAAGGGTTCCTGTGGCTCGGGGTTCCGGGGAGAGCACGGGGCGGCCGCATGAGCTGGCCCTGACCCTGCTCTGTGGGCTTTTCTGGGAATAGCTCTGCTTTCAAAGCACAGCTCCCACAGCAGGCCCTGCTGGTGGATTTGTAGCTCACATTTCCAAATGTTCCTTCCCTCCCTGAGGATCCCGTGGTAAGACCCCTGCCACATTCACATTTTCTGAAAAATCCCCTTGCCCAGGATTCTTCTCCGGGGAAGCCTCAGAGAAAAAGGAAATTTTGCTTCTCATTTGCTTCTCCTGTGTTTTTCTGCTTTGGAGTGTGGTTGGAGATTGTTTATCCAACTGGTCATTGTTTCATTGGTTTCATGTGAATTGTTTTTACTTAATGACCAATCACAGCCAGCTGTGTCAGGACTCTGGAAGAGTCACGAGTTTTTCATTATTGTCTTTTAGCCTTCTGTCTGGATCCTTTCTCTATTCTTTATTGTAGTTTTAGTATAGCATAATAAATATAATAAAATAAATATAATAAAATAAATATAATAAAATAAATATAATAAATATAATATAATATAATATAATATAATATAATATAATATAATATAATATATACAATATAATATAATATAATATGTAATATAGTGTTGTCTTACGCAATATTATATTATAATATAGTGTGTTGTATTATATTATATTATATTATATTATATTATATTATGTTATGTTATGTTATGTTATGTTATGTTATATTATGTTATGTTATGTTATATTAATTATATTATTATCACCACTACTTAAGAGCATTATTTATGCTCTTGGGCCTGAGATTTGGATCATTTGTGCTTGGTCCCCAGCTACAGAAGGAATTGTTTTGTCTCCCTGCTCTGTGCACAGAGCTCACCATCCCATGATATGAAGCTCAGAAATACACACTAAAGCAGCACAGAGTCTGAAAAATATAAAGGCCAAGACCTGAGCTGTCCTGTTTGTCACCCTGCTGCCACCCAGCAGCGCCAGAGGCACAGGGACACCAAGCTGGTGCCCTCAGCCCCACCCTTGGCAATCTTTCATCTCCAAGGGGTTCAGTTCTTCATCATCTGGCACCTTTGTGTGGGCTCCAGCTCTGAGTCACATTCTTGGGGTGAATGTGGCATTTGGGTGGGTGGGATCCCCACCCCTGGGGGTGTTCCAAAGATGTGTCACCCCTGGGGATGTGGTTTGGTGCTGGGTTAGTGCTTGGACTTGACCTTAAAGGTCTTTTTTCTTTAGTGCTTCTATGGTTTAGAGAACCAGTTCCTGCCCTGTCCTTCACACATCCCAAATATTCTGCTGGATCCTGGGATTCCCAGCACCGAAGAGCAGCTAGGAAAGTCCGGTTAACTCTCATTTTCTCTGCAAAACTTCAGAATTGCAGTTACACAGTCCTAGGCAAGAATATTCCTTCCAATTCCAGACCAGTTCCAGATGATGTAGTCCCATGGGCATTATGGCAGATTAATTGTCCATTGATCATTGATTGTACAAAATTGGCCATTGATTTGTAAAAATTGGCCATTGATTTGTACAAACTGGTCACTGATTTGTACAAAAAAATGCCCTAAATGGGGGCAGATAAATGGCAACAAATCTGGCAATGTGCGTAAAGGCGTCTTTAAGAGTGAGGCATGTCCTAGCTCATCAAAAAGATGATTCAAGTGAGTCACAAACTAACAGGAAAGTGAACAATGCAGCGTTTTTCTGCAGAAACTGCCTGCCCATGGCTGGGACAGTGCCCTGTTAGGGTGACAAGCTGGGGAGGGCAGTGACACCCAGCTGGGGCTGTCACCAATGCTGCTCCCCAGGGCTGAACCAACTCAACCCCCAAACACCCCCAAACACCCCAAAGGGAATTTTTCCTCACATTTATCCCCATCCCATGGGCATCCTTAAACCCCACAGCTGGGCAGGGCTAGGGGAGCTTGGCCCTTTGGGTTTCCTGGACTGTTCCTGGGAAAATTGACCCTGGATGTGATCCATTTTCTGCTCAGGATTGACATCTCACTCCAGCTGCAGGTTTATTTACAAGAGGGTTTATTGAGTGCAGGGGAAGGGGACAGAGCCAGCTCTGTAAATTAATGACACAAAAAACACACACAGAGAATTATGGGGTACAATTAAATAGAGGTTTGGGGAAGGCAGCTTCACGTGGAGGTGCTGTTTGGATTCTTCTGCTTCCTCAGGTACTCCTGGAACCATTTCTTGTCTGGGTCCACACAGACCATCCCTTTCAGCAGCTTCACACTTGGGGGGGAAAAAGAATATCCTGGGAGTCAGTCTGGGGGTTCCTGCAGCATCCTGTCCCCCTTTTCCCTGCCAGGGCTGACTCTTGGCCTGCTGGCGGCACAAATGGGGCCATTTAGGGCTGTTTGGGTCAAGCAGGGAGGGAGGTGAGTGTGAAGAGCCAGGTGAGGACAGCCCCACCGCAGCGCCTTGTGCAAGGGTGTCACAGGCATGTTTTTATGAAAACCCTTTCTTAAGATTTTTTTCCCTTCTGAGAAGCTGAGAGGCCTCAGGGACAAAGTGTAAACAGTGGTTTTCTGCTGCTGTGGAATGCAACAGGTGGATCTGTGATTGGTCTCGTGTAGATGTTTAGAATTAGTGACCACTCACGGCAGAGCTGGCTCTCTCTCTCTGTCCGAGCCACAAACCTTTGTTTTTCATTTCTTTCTATTCTTAGCTTAGCCTTCTGAGATGGAACTTTTCCTTCTATTCTTTTAGTGTAGTTATAATGTAATATATATCATAAAATAACAAATCAAGCCTTCTAAAACATAGAGTCAGATCCACGTCTCTTCCCTCATCCCCTGTGACCACTGTCACACAAGGGACTAATTTTGGGGAGTCCCCAGCAATGGGGGTTGGTGGGGAAGGAGGGTGAGCGAGGTGAGGATGGGCTGGACGGGAGGAAGGCTGGCTGGGAGCTGGGGTTACTCACAAGACAGCCCTGTGTGTGCAGGTGGAAGGTGTTTCCAGGTAGCCCATGATCCTGGACTCTGGGATTTTCCGGTGGTAGAACATTTCCTTGGAGCAGCACTTGGCTCTGAGGCTGCGGACTGAGAGCAGGAGGGAGGGTTCAGTGCTCTCCCTGTCCTGGCATGAGGGCTCTGGGTTCTACTCCTTCTCCCTCATCCCACAAAGGGAGCATCTTGCAGCCCCAGGGGTGATGCTCTGCCCCAGGGTGTGAGCACCCTGCCCTTAGAGCTCCCCAGCTGGCACTCTGGGCCTGAACCAACCCCATTTTTACTCAATTTTTACTCCATTTTTACCCCATTTTTACCTGGATTTTGAACAAATCCAGGCCACCCCCATGCTCAGACAGCTGGAGCATCTTGCAGCCCCAGGGGTGATGCTCTGCCCCAGGGTGTGAGCACCCTGTTCTTAGAGCTCCCCAGCTGGCACTCTGGGCCTGAACCAATCCCATTTTTACTCCATTTTTACCCCATTTTTACCCCATTTTTACTCCATTTTTACTCATTTTGAGCAAATCCAGGCCACCCCTATGCTCAGGCAGCTGGTGATGCCCCACAACCCCACAACCCCATCAGGAGCTGAGCTCTCCTCCCCTTCCCCAGCCCCAAATCCTATCAGAGGGAAATCTCAGAAGGGAAAATCTCCCTGCTGGTACTTACAGGACATGCCCTGGCTTCCAGTCCAGGCAGCTGCCAGCAGCAGGACGAGCAGGGCCAAGGAGATCCTCATGTCCACCCCGAGGTTCTGTCAGCACCAGCAGCTCTGGTTCTGCTCAGCCCACCAGGAGCTTTCTGCCCTCCTGCCTGCAGCTCTGGGTGATTTATACCAACCCCTGCCAGGCTTTCCATGACAGCTCTGAACCGTCCCCGTGGAAAGAACCGGTTGGATCTCTCCATGAGGGGCGAGTGGTGAGGGGAAATTCCTCCTGGCAGCCACTTTGGCCACCGTGACACCCCTGGGTGCTGAGAGGTGTGGGAGAGGCTGGTGATGCTGGGCTGGGAGTCTATTTTGGGTTGGGTTGTGGCCAGCAGCAAAGAGCACAGGATGATGCTCACACTTGTGAGTTCCTGTGCAAAAACCACTCCTTGCCATTGGCTCTGGGGCCTCGGCTTGCTCTGGGGTGGTGGCCGGGTTTGTTTCTCCATCTGTCACAGACATCTTTTATGAAAAATCCTTTCCTTAGGATTTTTCCTCCTGAGAAGCTCAGAGGCCTCAGGAACAACATGTAAACATTGATTATCTGCTGCTGTGGAATGCAACAGGTGCATCTGTCATTGGTCTCATGTGGTTGTTTCTAATTAATGGCTCAGTCTCTCTGTCCGAGCCACAAGCCTTTGTTATCATTCCTTCTTTTTCTATTCTTTGCCAGCCTTCTGATTAAATCCTTTCTTCTATTCTTTTAGTATAGTTTTAATATAATATATATCATAAAATAATAAATCAAGCCTTCTGAAACATGGATTCAGATCCTCGTCTCTTCCCTCATCCTCAGACCCCTGTGAACACCGTCACATCCATCACCCATTGCTGGGTGGCTCTGCCACTGTCACAGCACCCATCACGTTTCCTGGTGGCATTCCTGGTGTTTTGGGCTGCCTGAGATCCCCCTCTAAGTGAATTTGGGCTGTTAATTGGGATGATGGATGAGGAGCACAGGAGGCCTCCTCCCAGCCATGCTGTCCCTCTGGTTCCTCCCCAGAGCCCTCCTGGGTTTGGTTTGGCCCCATTCCCCCCTGGACACCCTCACAGAGACCTGGCTGAGGCTCCAGCTGTTCCTGGCTCCTTGCTGGTCCCAACACCTGGGCAGGAAAGGCGGCAGCAGGACCTGCCCAGGCCCCAGAGACTCGCACACACAGATGTTTGCACGTGGGAATCGCGTTTAATTCTGGTCAGAGTCGACAAAAAACAACTGAGGAGCTGCTCCCCCTTCACCCCAGCCTGCTGCAGCCTCTCCATGGATCACAGAGTGTCTGGACACTCCATCCTGGTGGGCTGGAAAAGGCTGGAAAAGGCCTCCTCCTGTGGTGAGGGTCATGGTGGTGGGGAGGATGTCCCTTGTGAGCTGCTCCATCCAGAAGTGTCCCCTCTGCCGGTGTGGTGTCCCCCACGGGGCTGTCCCCAGCCACCCCACTAGCTGGGGATGGAGAAGGAGCTGACTTGGAAGCTCTGCTGGTACCTCTTGACCCACGGCCTGCTGGCCTGCGTGCAGATCTCCTTCCCGTTCCTCACCCTGAAGCTGGGGCACAGAGGGGCTGGGGTCAGTGGAGACCCCAACCCTGAGCTCCTGAGGGGCTCAGGGGGTCAGGATGAACCCAGCAGAGCAGGGCAGGGGTGTGGCAGGGTGCAGGGTGGGTTTGGGGTACTCACATCACAGCCTGGTGCGGGCACTCGGGGCTGGTGGGGTAGCAGGCCACCACGTTGTCCCTCTTGATCCTCCTGGTCTGGAAGTTGAAGCAGCACTTGTCTGGCATGGCTGGGGCTCCTGGGGGGGACAGCACAAGCCTGGCTCAGTCTAGAGACCCCCAACCCCTCCTCAACCCTCCTGCCATGGCAATGGCAGCTCTTTGGGAGGATCCCCTGCACTCTGTGCATGAAGCAAACCCGACCCCACAGCCCTCGGTTCTGTCCCTGAGCTCCATCCCTGGGTTCTATCCCTGGGTTCTGTCCCTGTTCCTCCCATCCCAGGGTTCTGTCCCTGTTCCTCCTATCCCAGGGTTCTGTCCCTCTTCCTCCCATCCCAGGGTTCTGTCCCTGTTCCTCCTATCCCTGGGTTCTGTCCCTGTCCCCCATCCCTGGGTTCTGTCCCCATTTCCCAGCCCTGAGTTCTGTCCCTGTCCCTGAGTTCTGTCCCCATCCCTTGGTTCTGTCCCCATCTCACAGCCCTGGGTTCTGTCCCTGTTCCTCCCATCCCTGGGTTCTGTCCCCATTTCCCAGCCCTGAGTTCTGTCCCTGTCCCTGAGTTCTGTCCCCATCCCACAGCCCAGGATTCTGTCCCCAATTCCCCATCCCTGGGTTCTGCCCCCCTCTCCATCCCTGGGTTCTGTCCCTATCCCCATCCCAGGGTTCTGTCCCCATCCCAGGGTTCTGTTCCCATCCCCATCCCTGGGTTCTGTCCCCATCCCAGGGTTCTGTTCCCGTCCCCATCCCTGGGTCCTGTCCCCATCCCTGGGTCCTGTCCCCATCCCCAGCCCCTGGGCTGGAGGCAATGCTCACTCTGAGCCAGGCTGTGCCAGCACAGCGTGCAGAGGATGAGGAGGGCACAGAGCACCCTGGACGCTGTCCCCATGCCGGGCTGTGGCAGTGGCTGAGCCGCCTGTGCTGGGGCCAGCCTGCCCCGGCTGCTTTTATGGGGGATCCATGGGGGAGGGCCTGGCCCCTGCCACGTCCCAAAGCACAGAGGGAAAGTGATACTTCATCCCCTCATCCCCTCCCCAGCCCTGGGAAAGGAAGAATGTGCTCCCAGGCCGTGCTTCTGGCACTGATGTGCTTGGGATTTTTCCTGAGCTCCAGCCCCCAGTGCTGGGGCTGATGGACAGGCTGTTCCCAAAGCTTGGCTCTGCACCCTGAGCCCCTGGGCAGGCTGTGTCCAGGCCTCGTGGAGGGGAGCTGAGAGGGTTTGGGGATGTCCTTTGGATGGGTCAAGGGACAGGCAGGGTCTCCCATGGTGCCTGTCCTTCCCCTGCCCTGCAGTTTTGTATCCTGGCCCTTGGCACCACCAGCCAAAAAACCCCTTTACTCCTCCACCACAAAAAAACCAGCCGTAGAGAAACCACAAATCATAGAGAAACAGCTTCTGCCTGGTTGCATCAGGCACACAAACCCCTCTGTGCATTTTTGGGGGTGTTTGGGGCCCAGGGGGAGGACGGGCAGGTGGCTGCGCTTCCCCGCTCTCGGTGCCAAAGCAGCAGCTCATGTTCTTGGCCGTGCTGGGCTGGGAAAGAGAGGCCAGAGAGGGAATCCCTGGTGGATTTTGCCTGGCTGCAGCTGTCAGAAAAGCCCCTTCTCCCCCCAGCCCTGCAGATCCCAGGGCGCTCCCCAGCTGCCTGCAGCTGGCGCAGGAAGGGGAGCAGCGGGAGAGGCAGAGGCTGTGCTGGGAACGCTGAGAGATCCTGGGGTGATGGGGACACAGCCCTGCACAGAATCACAGATCCTCCAGGCTGGAGGAGACCTTAAAGATGAGTTCAACTCAGCCCCAACACCTCAGCTAAACCCTGGCACCCAGTGCCACATCCAGGCTTTGTTAAGCACACCCAGGGATGGGGACTCCACCACCTCCCCAGGCAGAACATTCCAGAACTTTATCACCCTTTCTGTAAAACCTTTTTCCTAATATCCAACCTGTATTTCCCTTCATGCAGCCTGAGTCTGTGTCCTGGGCTGCCTTGGGGTGCTGCTCCTGGAATGGGAATGTGTGACCGTGTTCACAGGGGTCTGAGGATGAGGGAGGAGATGAGGATCTGACTCTGTGTTTCAGAAGGCTTGATTTATTATTTTATGATATATATTATATTAAAACTATACTAAAAGAATAGAAGAAAGGATTTTATCAGAAGGCTAACTAAGAACAGAAAAAGAAAGAATGATAAAGGTTTGTGGCTTGGACTCTCTGTCCGAGCCAGCTGACTGTGATTGGCCATTAATTAAAACAACCACATGAGACCAATCCCAGATGCACCTGTTGCATTCCACAGCAGCAGATAATCAATGTTTACATGTTGTTCCTGAGGCCTCTGAGCTTCTCAGGAGGAAAAATCCTAAGGAAAGGATTTTTCATAGAAGATGTCTGTGATAGGAATGGGAATTCACTCTTCTCCAAAGCCGCTTCCCAGAAATCAGCCTCAGTTTTTTTGGGATGACAGTGAGGTGCCAGGGGACGCCCCAAGGGTGGTGGGAGCAGAGAATTGGGGTTTGTCTTTGTCTGGCAGGGCTGAGCACCTTTTGTCATCCCCCAAACTCCCAGTTCATCCCTCCTGGGGGAGCAGAGACGTCTCTGGCTCTGCTCTGGCCCAGCCCTTGGCTCGCCTTTCCCTGACTGGATCCATCTTTTCCCTCATCCCTTTTCCTACCCCCACGCACCGCAGAGCTCCTGCTGCAGCTGGGGCAAACCCGGCCCTCTAAGCGTAGAAAATGTTCCCTGGAAAACAAAAGGAAGGGGAACAGACAGGATTTATTGGCCTGGGAAAACCCCTTTTGATGATTCCAAGGTAAAATTCCGAATGCAGCAGGCAAAGAAGGCCGGGAATGACATTCCCAGCTCATCAGTGTTTGATGCAGAGAAGGGCAGGGACATGGGCAGAATCTCTGCTCTGGGGTGCCCCAAAAGTCCTCTGATCCCACAAATTATCTGGGCTGGAAAACATATTTTTCCTCCCTTTATTCCCCTGTTTCTGTTGCTATAGGACATGAAATAAAACAACACAGACATCCAGCTCTGTAAAGTAAAAAAGAAGAAAGTTTAATTTCTAACTTTAATATTTACAGGTTTCCAAAATGACAGTGGATTAGAAGATGACAGTGCTACCTCTCCAATGACACTAAATAAATTAACTAATTAATTAATTAACAATTAATTAATATTAAAATTTGATAATAATTATTAAAATTATTATCAAATTTTAATATTATTAAAATTTATATTAAAATATTATTAAATTTTTCTTCCTCCATAAAAAAATACAAAACAATAAGCTATTTACGTAGAGTGCGCAAAAAAAAAATTCGTTACAAAAATACAAACATCAGAAGGCTTAGAAAAAAAATTGAAGAAAAAACAAAACAATATTGTTTCTTGGGGGATCTGTGCTTGCACTCCTAGCTCTGGGTGTGAGACTGGGACACACAGGGATAGCCCGGGACAACCCAGGAATGCTGCCACCCCCGGGGCAGAGCTGCTTTTCCACCCTGATGCTTTATCGATGCTTTATTTCCCTCTCAGCTGATCAATAACCCCCGGGGCAGCTGCTGCAGCTGGGGCAGCCAAAGGGAGCAGAGCTGCTTTGTCCGGTCAGGGCTGTTTCCAACAAGGATCTGTTTGATTTCTTCTTCTCCCTCTTTTTGATTTTTTTCTTCTCCCTTTTCAAGCGTGGTCGGGTCAGCTTTTCCATCTGACGCTGAGGTAACCACTGAATTCACGCCCCGTTGGTGCTATTTCCTTTTTTAAAAGTCCTTGTCCGGCCCCAGCCACGCAGGACTTCCCCAGCTGCTGCAGAGATGGTTTCTGTCACCAAAAAAATGTCCCCGAAAATAGGTGTCCCCTTTGTCCACTTGTTAAAAACCCCAGTCATTTGTTTTTAAAATTTTGAAAGTTTAATAGTAATAAAGTGGTTATAAAAATAGTAATACAATTAGAGTAATAATAATTTTGACAATTTGAATTAGGACAAATATGAGACAACAAATAGAGCACGAGCCCGAAAAAGGACCCACGTTAACAAAGGATTAACCCTTAAAAGCAATTCCCTGTTGCATATTCATACACTTCATACATAATGCATAAATTCCATTAAAATACAGGATTCTGTCTGGTCATCGTCAACTTCTTGCTCCGAATCCTAACAGTGCCTTTGAGGTGGGAAGAAGTTCATTTCTTCTGATAAGAGAGCAATAAATTCATTTTCTCTGAAAGATTTAGGTGTCCTGTGGTTGATATCTCGCCGCCAATCCTTTCTTTAAAAGAAGCATCCTACATAGCATAGTTTCTATTTTAACAATTTTTATAACCTAAAACTATATTTAACACAGTGCTTAAGATAATTAATACAGCATTACTTTCTAAAACAACACATATAATATTAATTTTAATATTTGTGAAAAGCCAATCATAAAATACATGCATTTTTCACACCACCCACATCCGTGCAGAGCCCAGCTGGATTCTGCTCTCAGAAAGCACAAAGTGGAGATGTTTTGGGGTATTTTTTTTTTTTTTGTCCAAGGCATTGCCTGGCACCCAGCTGGCCTGAGGCTCCTTCCTCCTGTGGGATTGAGATGGAATGAGTGCTGCCATCCTTTTCCAGGGGAGACTTCACCAGGAAAATCACAGCTAAATCCAATTTTAGATGTCAGTCCTATGAGAGGAATGCTGAGCATGCCACAGGTGTTGCTGAAAGGAGAACCTGGTCCAGGCTTGGACCAGCCCATGTCACCCTCACCTCCCTAATTCAGGCTCAGAGACAGGTTGGGAGCGATGTTCCCACCTGTGAGAAGTGGAAACACTGTGAAAAACATAGCATTATGTGGCTTTGGTGTCAGTCTCTGGGGATTCGGGCTCCTCTCTTGATTTTGGAGCTGTGTCCCCACATCCTGCTGGCCCAGAGGGAGAGCAGCCCCAAAGGAAAGGGGTTTGAGCCCAAAACAGTGGTGGGGACTTCAGAGAGGTGAAAAGTTCCCATTTGGGATGATAATTGCTGTCCCAATCTCCTGAGGGAAGGGGTTTTGTGGTTGTCCTCTTGTCCCTGGGCACAGGGCAGGGATTTTGTGGTTGCTCCCTTGTCCCTGGGCACATGGAAGGGGTTTTTGGGGTTGTCCCCTTGTCCCTGGGCACAGCACAGAGGTTTGGTGGCTGTCCCTTTGTCCCTGGCCATTCCACCCTCTCTCGGCTGTCCCGAGCTGAACTCTCCCCTTCCCCGCACATCTCCGGGTGCTCACTGACTCACTTCCCGTGTCCTTTGGCCCCGGTATCCTGGCTGCCCCCGCAGGGACGGCCCCGGCTCCTCCAACGCTGATTTCACACCCAACTCCTCTGCCTGAGATTGCCATCAGGGCTGGGCTGCTCGGGCTGAGCAACCCTGGCCTTTGAAAACCCCGAGTTCAGAACTCAGATAAACCCAAAGCCTCCTCTGACTCCTGATCTGCAGCCCCATTCCTGGTCTGAACCCCCATTCCTGATCTGCACCCCTATTCCTGATCTGTACCCCCATTCCTGGTCCGAACCCCCATTCCTGATCTGCACCCCTATTCCTGATCTGTACCCCCATTCCTGATCTACAGCTCCATTCCTGATCTGCAGCCTCATTCCTGATCTACAGCCCCATTCCTGATCTGCATCCCCATTCCTGATCTGCAGCCCCATTCCTGGTCTGCACCCCCATTCCTGATCTGTACCCCCATTCCTGATCTGCAGCCCCAATTCCTGATCTGCACTCCCATTCCTGATCTGAACTCCCATTCCTGCATCCCTATTCCTGATCTGCATCCCTATTCCTGCAGTTTCCACTCTCCTCATGATTTCCCAGCAACCCGAAAGGCACAAAACAAGAAAAAGAAAGATAAATCCCAAACCAAAAA